AAAAAAAAAAGCCTAAGAACCTGGAAAATCAATTCCAACCAAAACAACAAGAAAATGTTTTCCTCCAAAAGCTGCAAAATGTGGAAATGTGAAAAAAAATTCCGGAGAAAATTTTGTTATCAAACACGTGCAAAAGTTGGAAAACCATGGAAAATCATGGCTATCAAACGGGCCTAATAGTTCAATATAGAAACCTCTCTTTCTTCAACCCTCGGAATATCTTCTTGTAGTGTTGTTCAACTCAGTGTCAATTCAAAAAGTTATTTCGTAAAGAAATAAATTTGACCGATCAAGTTTAATCAGAAATAGTTACAAAAACATCTATCTTTTGATATTATTCTAGACCATATGGTCCACCATGTCAAGTTAACAAAATGAGAAGTAAGAACTCATGGTTCAATAGAGAAACCTTTCTCTTACCAATATGCCATTGGTTATTACAAAGTCTGAATGCAAGAAAATCTTGATGCCCTTCAGTAGTGCAATACAGTAACATTGCATTGAATAACCGCATAGTAAATTTTAGCGTCGTAATGAATCGTTTCAAAACTCACGTAACCACGCGCGAGACGGAATTTTCCGGTGCCACCAACCACAGCAACTTCTCTAACCCTTTCAAACTGCGCACTGCTTCCTTGTATCTCGAGAGTGCTACCTTTGTATTCCTCATTCGTGAACACAACTGATATTAGGACGTGTGTATTCGACCCATCTAAAGCCGAGGTCACATACAAACCTTGGGCTCGTGCAATCTCTGCCGAAGATGGATCAAATCCTTCAGTTATCGGGTCATCGGTGCAGAAGATGGCTCCAAATTTGGTGAAGCTAAGAAGGCCATCGGGTTGACCCGTAATCTGCACTACAGTGGCATTAGGTCCACCTGAATAATCTTGAAAATATAGTGTCATTTTGGTTTCTTTAGGCTGTCCAAGCTCTGCTTCTGAACTTATGAACATGGCCAGAAACACTAGTGATATTCTGATTGAATTTGATGCCATTGCAGATAATAATGTCTTAAGCCTGGAGTCGGTATGCTTTAGTTTCTTGGTCAGGGTGTCTATATAATGTGGTGGGGGTGGATAACTTTTATTCCAAATTTAAGAAAGTTTTTGAAAGGATGTCACAGCATAGTAATCTGCCAATATTTTTTAATTTGAAACATTAAAAAAAAATGAAGTTAGTTTATAGGATGCAGTCTTGATTATTCGACATCTTGTCTCATACCTTATAATATTTTATATTTTGATCTAAACTAGGTTAAAAAACTCTTGGATGTATTAAGTGTTTGACGTAAATTTCAAAAAACTGAATATTGGAAGAAACAATTACAGATTTGAAAAACTGAGTTTCTTCCTTACCTGATGTTTATCTTCTAGTAATCTGTCTGTTTAATTCAAATTTAAAGACTTGTAAGTTGTATCTCTCCAAGAATGATGCTTAAACTTCGAAAAACTATTAATAGGTTTGAGGCACAAGTGTTGGGAATACATCAAAAAAATCTAGAATTGAAGTTTGACCACAAAATAACTTGGGATCTTCACTCGACTGACTTAACTTTTCTTCATGTAAAACAGGATTAGGTTAGTGAGCTCGGCCAACAGAACAAGGGACGATGACCTACCTCACTCGATAGTCAAGTTAATATTTTAGTTGTGATGATATTTTGCAGTAAAATTATGATCACATTCCTAGAGTGAAAGGATTTGAGAGTTCATTTGCAGGGTAAGAGATCACGTGTCTTTAAATGGTGCAAACTTGCTACTCACATCACCTTAGAACTTGAAGTGGGTGCCAGGTTGAACTTGCATGCTAAAGATTCGCCAATCACACACTTGAATAATTTTGAGATCAACTACATCCTGTTGAATTCTATTATGTAATGTTGTGATCGCTCTATTTGGCTTGTTAGCATGTTGAATTAATCAAGATTGTCGAACTGCCTTTCATTAGCTGGTCAACTCCATCTAGGATGGTTAATATTGGCCTTTGACTCTATAGTCTTCTCTCGATATGTGCTCATCCTCTTGACTTGGCCTCCTCCAGTAAGCATGGTCAAGAATGACCTCTGTTGACACCAAAAAATGAACCAACATAATCCCTACCACATCCACTCCACGTGGACATCACCTGCACACTGAAAGCCCCGTTAGGAGGCAAATGTCACCGGTTGAGAAAAAGATCCGACGATCGTTTGGACTTTGATGGTCAAGTCAATGACTAGACTAGAGGAAAAGAGAATGCAATAGAGGGAGATGGAATTTGGATAGCGTTCGAGATCATCCCTTAATTATGAAATAAATCACATATATAGGAAATGTAAATGGGTATGTGGGCCTAATGGGCCGGACCCAAGCTTAGGCCCAAAAATATCCGACTTCCTTAAATAGGTCCACATTAAATAGTCGATGCCATCTAATATATGGGTGTAACAATAGTCCCCCAAGTCTAAATCGTACATTCATATGCGGGTCGGACTTTGAAGTATAAATAGTTAAGTCGGCAAATGTGGGATCATCTTCGTCGAGTGTATGCTACGTAATTTATGGTGTAACAATAGATCCCAAGTTTGAGTCGTACATTTATGTGCGGATTAGATTTTGAAGTATAAATAGTCAAGTCGGCCAATGTGAGATCATCTTCGTCCAGTGTATGTTACGTAATTTATGGGTGTAACAATAGATCCCCAAGTCTAAGTTGTACATTTATGTGCGGGTCGGACTTCGAAATATAAGTTGTCGGTAGGTGAGATTGCCTCAAAAATATAAGTAGCTTGGATAAGCGGGAACTTATGAACTGCCTCGAAAATATGCTTCAGTCCCAAATAGGTGAGCACTTACGAATTGTCTCGAAAATATAAACAGCTCCACTGAGGACTTACGAACTGTCTCAGAAAATGTGTGCGAGCCTGAATAAGCAAAGACTTATGAATTGCCTCAAAAGGTAGACACTGCATATAATTTGTCGAAATTTCGGCAACACCTCCTCTATAATATGGACTAAACCAACCTGTAATACAATATAATATCTCTGCCGCATCTCATCTACATTAGCTTATCCATTTGCCCCATAAATTACTCATGAAGATAAAGTAAATAATGACATCACATTTCTCCCAAGATATAATATGAAAAAAAACATATCATGTATCATAACAGGTCATATGCTTACACAATTAAGTGTAATAGTAGTGCTATGGTAAGCAAGTAACATGTTGATAACGTAGATAACGTGACATATGTACTGACAGTAGCGATAATAGTGTCATGACATGCTAACAATGATGTAGTATGCATACTTGGCAGCAATAATATAATGCATAAGCTAGCAATAATAATGCAATGATATAAGGATACTAGTATTACAATAGTCACCAAATCTGAGTCGTAAATTCATGTGCGGGTCAAACTTTGAATATAAGCCATTGGATGAAGCTAATATAGAGACGAGACAAAATATATAAGTAGTTGTAATAAGTTGCTGTAGAGGCGAGACTAAATATATAAGCAGCTGTGATAAGCTAATGTAGATGTGATGTAATTGCTGAAGAGAATGAACCATATTAAAGCAATGAAGCCTATGATGAGGCTGAATGAAGTGAGATGAGGCCCTTGCTGAAGAGGGCGAGCCATATTGAAGCAACTGAGGCCCGTGATGAGGCGAGGCGAGGCGAGGCCCTTTCTGAAGATGGCGAGCCATATTGAAGCATCTGAAGCCTATGATGAGGTTTAATAAAGCGAAGTGATGCCCTTGTTGAAGAGGGCGAGCCATATTGAAGTAATTGAAGCCTGTAATGAGGCTGAATAAAGTGAGGCGAGACCCTTGCTGAAGAGGGTGAGCTACTGAAGCCTATGATAAAGCTGAATAAAGCGAGGCGATGCCCTTGCTGAAGAGGACGAACAATGCTGAAGCAACTGAAGCCTGTGATGAGGCTGAATAAAGCAAGCCGATGCCCTTGCTGAAGAGGACGAGCCATATTGAAGCAATTGAAGCCTATGTTGAGGCTTAATAAAGCGAGCCGAAGCCTTTGCTGAAGAGGGTAAGCCATATGGAAGTAACTGAAGCCTATGATGAGACTGAATAAAGTGAGGCAAGACCCTTGCTGAAGAGGGCGAGCCATATGGAAGTAACTGAAGCTTGTGATGAGACTGAATAAAGTGAGGCGAGGCCCTTGTTGAAGAGGGCGAGCCATATTGAAGCAATTGAAGCCTGTAATAAGGCTGAATAAAGCGAGGCGAGACCTTTGCTAAAGAGGACGAGCCATATTGAAGCAACTAAAGCCTATGATGAGGCTTAATAACGCGAGGCGATGCCTTTGAAGAGGATGAGCCATATGGAAGTAACTGAAGCCTGTGATGAGGCTAAATAAAGCGAGGCAAGGCCCATGCTGAAGAGGGCGAGCCATATGGAAGTAACTAAAACCTATAATGAGGCTGAATAAAGCGATGCGATGCCCTTGCTGAAGAGGGCGAGCTATATGGAAGTAACTAAAGCCTATGATGATGCTTAATAAAGCGAGGCGAGACCCTTGCTGAATAGCGCGAGCCATATTGAAGCAATTGAAGCTTGTGATGAGGCTTAATAAAGCGAGGCGAGACCCTTGCTGAAGAGGGTGAGCCATATTGAAGCAATTGAAGCCTGTAATGAGGCTGAATAAAGCGAGGCGAGACCCTTGCTAAAAAGGGCGAAACATATTGAAGTAATGGAAGCTTGTGATGAGGTTGAATAAAGCGAGGCGTGGCCTTTACTGAATAAAGTGAGACAATGTCCTTATGTAAGCAGCAGAGGAGATGCACTGAATGTATGCAGTTGTGATAAGCTGATGTAGATGTGAGTCTCTGAATATATAAATGCTCTAAAGACATAAATAGTAGAGACGATACTCACTTATGGGCTCGCCATATGAAATTTGAATATAATATAAAAGTTTGTCATGCTTTTAACGTAACTTATGATCTTGTTAAAGTTAATAAGTTGATGGAGATATGGAATCGCCATATTTTAACCGTTGAAGGAGTATATGAACTTTTCATACTTAACTTATGGGTTTATCAAAGTTAATAAGTTGATGGAAATATGAGTTCGCCATATTTTAACTGTTGAAGGAATGTATGAGCTTGTCATACTTAACTTATGAGCTTGTCATAATTAATAAGTTGATGGACATATGGACTCGTCGCATTCTAACCGTTGAATGAGTGTATGAGCTTGTCATACTTAACTTATGAGCTTATCATAGTTAATAAATTGATGGAGATATGGGCTCGCCATATTTGATAAGAAAACCACGAGCTATGCTTGCCTTCGATAATAAGAAAACCACGAGTTAGAGCTCGTCTTCAAAGATGCGAGAACTCGAGACGTCTAAAAACAGGTAGGAACAACCACTATATGCCGAAAATTTTTTTATTCAAGAAACGATGACTCCAATCAGGGATAAGCATTTGGCGTGGAGAGGAATAAACATCCCGCGAATAACTTACGAACTATTGGAGTCTTATAAACTAGCCTCGAAATGGCGAGGTCTTACAGTTGGGCTCAACGATAGTGAGAGGCGATGAATAAATATCTCGTGAAGCCAGAGATAAGCGTCTATCGATTTGCCTCTTCCTTTTTCAAGGAACAAGGACTTCAAAATATTCCACTTCATTTATTCAAGGAATGAGGACATCGAAAAATACTGCCTCTTCCTTTATTCAAGGAACAAGGACTCCAACCAGGGATAAGCATCTGGCATGTAGGAAATAAACATCCCGGGAATAACCGCCTCTTCCTTTATTCAAGGAACGATGACTCCAACCAGGGATAAGCATCTGGAGTGCAGGAAATAAACATCCCGGGAATAACTCTCGAACTATCAGAATCTTATAAACTGGCCTCGGAATGACAAGGTCTTACAGTTAGGCTCAATAATAGTGAGAGGCGAGGAATAAGCATCTCGCGAAGCCAGGGATGAGCGTCTGACGATTTGCCTTTTCCTTTCTTGAGAAACAAGGACTTC